GACGCCACAGACAATGATGCTTCTTAAAGAGGTGTTAGGAGGACCTGCAGTAATACCTCCTCCATCTTCTCTTCTTCCCCGAAACGCACTGGAGGAGGGTCTCTCCAACCTACATAGCACTGAGGGTAAGAGTGAACTGACAGCCAATCCGGTTGTCAACCAGGACTTTTATAACTATGTTCAGAAAGCATGCCATGAAACTTCCCACAGGGTTGTCCGTGAGGTTAAAACGGAAGAAGCAACACGTATGCTTCCCTATATGTTCCTTGAACCAAAAGCAGGATAGAAAGTGTGAGAGGAGAAAAAGAATGAAAATGAAGTAGAACTCTCTCAGAATGAAAGGAAATCACAGCCCATTGTTTTTCCTATCATCCACTGTGTATTCTTCTCTGAACTGGCACAGTTCCAACTTGGCTGGAATGACACTTGCAAAACAATGACATGATGGGCTGAAAGATTGGGCAGTCAGTAATGCTTGTAAAATAATCTGAAATGCACTTTATGCACAGCACAATTCCTTTTAAATGAAATTGTTAATGCCTGTAAAATAAAACAGCTTGAACTTGAGGCACTATATAAAAGCACTAAGTGACATCATTAAAGTGCTATACAAAGTTGCAATCATTAAAGTTCCACTACAGTGTATTAAGATAGCGCAGGATTTTACAGCAGTTAATGATTTATGCAGTCTGAAGTATACAGAGTACTTAGTCTAACTTATTGGGAACTATATTTAGAGAATTACATATACAACTCTCTCAGATCACTTCCTACTTTCTTAGCAAAATCAAAAACACAAAAGGTTGCTGGTTTACTTTTTAGGTACAAGTCCAAGAACATATTATAAATTTACCTGCAGCAACCATCAGACTGCTTTACACTTTCATATACCTTCAGAAGATAATTCCTTGTTTGAAAGTCCCAAGTCTGCATGTATACATGCTATATTTTATGAAAAATCTAAGGCTGTGACCCTACAATTATGGGCAAATACCCCAATGAACATAGTGGAATTTAATTCTGAGTAAACATGTAAAGGATTCTATTGTAATTTGCAAGTCCACAAAAGTTACCAGACTACTCTATTTTAATGGCCTGCTTTCTCATACATTCTTACATACCGATGCTCTTGAGACCCTCAGCCCCATGGGCATTTTGTTATGGTTTCTTCCCCCATTTGTACATGTGGGCACCTGAGTGTGGGCCTAGGATTGATAGAAGCAGCCTGAATTAAAGTGATATTTATTTATTTATTTATTTATTTATACATACATACATACATACCTTCGGCTTATATACCGCCCTGACCCCGAAGGATCTCTGGGCGGTTTACATAGTGGTTCTAACCAACCAATTAACCTAACTAGGGCCACATTGTCTACAGGGTGGTGACTGCCTACCAGCACCCCGGGCTAGTTGTCATCCAGCTTCCTTCCGCGGCTTCAGATATTGGTGCCCTGGTGCTCTTTCTGGAGTCGATCTTCCCCGAGCAGCTTCCTCCGGCAGGTCTTGTCTTGGCACGTGGTTCTGTGTTGGCTGACCGCCGCCGCCGAACCCTCTACCTCACAAGGAGGAGGGGTGCCCCCTGCCACCTAGGGCAGGTACCCACTTTATCTACTTGCATTTATGATGCTTTCGAACCACTGGGTGGACGGGAGCTGGGCCGGGGGCCGGGAGCTCACCCCGACCGCGGTGGCTTTCGAACAGCCGTAATGGCTGTTCATTGATGTTACTTTGCAGGCGTTCTTACTCCCTGCGCCACCGCTCCCCCAATCCTTGCACTATGCTCCACAGACCTTGCACTGTCCTTCCCTAGAGAGAAGAGATTGGATTTATACCCAAACCTTAACGGAGTCTCAGATTGGTTTACAATCTCCTTCCTTTCCTCTCCCCAGAACAGACACCCTGTGAGGTAGGTGGGGCTGAGAGAGCTCTGAGAGAACAACTCTCAGAGAACTTTGTCTGACCCAAGGTGACACCAGCAGCTGCATGTGGAGGAGTGGATTATCAAACCCGGTTCTCCCAGATTACAGTCTGCCACTCTTAACCACCGCACCAAACTAGCCCACTGGAGTTTTGCCTCCAGATGCAGCTTCTTCACTTTCAAGGACAACCATCCTGTTGTAGAGCTTGGTGGTCTGGTGTAGTGGTTAAGTGCGTGGGGTTCCCCACTCCTCCACTTGCAGCTGCTGGATGACCTTGGGCAAGCCATAGTTCTGGCACAGCTGTTCTTGAAAAAGAGCAGTTTCTGTCAGAGCTCTCTCAGCCCCACCTACCTCACAGGGTGTCTGTTGTGGGAAGGGGAAGGAAGCCGCTCTGAGACACCTTTGGGTAGTGAAGGGCAGGGTATAAATCCAATCTCTCCTCTTCTTCTCACAGTTCCCTTCAGGACCAGTCTCGTATGTCTCATTTTTCATAGGCTTTCCCCCCCTTTTAAGCAGGAAAGTTCACCAGAGAAAAGTTTTTGTGCTGTCACTTTAATTTTGCTCTACAATACTGCATAAATTAATTTGGTTTCTTTTCTGTTTATAAAATTAAAACCCCTTCTGTTTCAGTCTTTCTCCTCTTGTTTTTTCAAGTGTTGATATGAGCCTGGACCTTGGTATACACAGACTAAGATCCCAAGTATTGAAGTACCCCATATACATGTGTTTTCTTCCATGCTGGCAAGGGGACACCTTTGCATTTTATGGGCCCGACAAGTGTATACTAATTTGGGTAACAGTATGCATTAGTAATTTCTAATTAAAAGAAAAAAGAATCCACTCTGTAAGCATTTTACACCTGTTCAGTTTTGAAATAATTCATACTCACCACAAATGTCCAAGTGTGCATCCTCCATGCTTTCATATTCAATTGAATATTCTGTCCTGCTTTATTACTGGAATTTCTTTAATCATCTTTTAAACTTTAGCTATAAAAGAAGCAGCTGCTCAGATGCAAAGAACATATGGCATCTCATGCTGTGACTTTAAGCACATATATGTGGAAATAAATTAGATTCAGATCAGTGGAGTTTACATCCCCTTCGAGATTAGGTAGGTAGTCTTAAACCTTCTCCACTGTTCTATTTTGCTGCTTAAGAGCTGCTCTGTAGCTATTTTAAAAGGTCCCCTAAAACAGCAAGGAGCCTGCTTTCTTGACTTCTCAGGATTTATTTCTTGACTTCTCAAGAAAATATCCTTTTAGATATCTATTTTTTCATTTTTTTTACTGCCTGAAGATCTTTAAACTTGACAAAAAGGCTATATCATTAAAAACACAAAGAAATGACACGTATTTCAATTATGATCAGTTCCAGATTTTGATAACAGCAACAAAAACTGATATGCTTTGTGTGATGGACTGCACTTTTAAAAGCTTAGAAGTGTTGTACAAACAGGTGAAGGACCATGAAAGGTTAATTCTTCACAGAAACAGAGAGCCTTGAGTGACAGACTGCTCCAAGGAATCTGATTGGTTAGCATCAGCTGAGCAGAGAAAGACTTCTGAACTGGATGCTGAGGAGAGATGCAGTCTGATTTCAGCCCTAGCTGAGAAGAATCAAGGACTGACAGTTTTAAAATTCAGCCCTGACTGAGAGCAGTTTAACACAGACAGGAGAACTAGGGAAAGTTGGCAAGGACCAGTGGGTAGCTAGACAATGGCCCCAGTCACACGGGAGGTTTTGGCCCGGAAGAGGGACGGATTGGGGGCGCAGCAAACGGGCGCGATCAAACTGCAACATCTGGGAAGCGGCGCGCACCCGTCCCTGATCTGTCCCTTCAGCCGGAAAACCCGCTGCAAAAAAGAACCTGCAAAAGAGCAGGACTTACCGGAAATGGCGCAGCAAGTCCGGCCGTGAGATCGCCGGCACACCCGTCTTCCGGAGCAATCGAGGCTCCCGGCCGAACTGTGCTTGCGCACACACGCGCAGTTTGGCTGCCTCGCTCTCCCTTCAGTGGCTTCCCCCCGGCATCTGATCGTGCCTGGGAGGAATTGCGCGGTGGCTCAGGGGATCTATCTGATCCTGCCGCTGCGTGTCTCTTTTGGTGCGGCTCTAAAAAGCTGCACTTTGGCCATTCTTTTTCCCCCCGTGTGGCAGGAACTGGAGACTCCCATTCAGGCCAAGGAAAGGGGATATAACTTCTAGAGAGAGAAGGATTTTCCCTACCCAGTCTAAAAAGGGTGATAGCTCTGAAGAATGCAGAGATCCCTGGTCTGGTGTGGTTAGAAACTGCCTTTAGAGACCTTAAGAGTCAGTTAAAAACTCAAGACGAGTACTGGTGTTTCAAGGGAAGGGGTCGGGTACGGGAAAGAGCGTACCAGCCTCCTAGAAACCAAAAGGATACTCAAAGAAAGTGTATGGAAGTGTTTGGGGAAAACACTGTAACAAAAGCCTCTCAACATAAAGATTTAAGTCACTGTGAAAAGCTTAAGAAACTCTCATTAGCCTGAAACATAAGACTTAAAGTCTGTGCATGTAGTGATTTTACCCCTCAGAACTATTTATTCAAGTTACCTCAGAAATTTTCAGCCCCTGACCTTTCCCCTCTATGTTAAATAAAATATTTTGTTATTTTTGAATTTCAAAATGCCTTGAGTGCTATTTAAGTTGTTTAAGTTAAAGGGGGCTCCAAATCCTTCCCTCAGGGCTGAGCCAACAGCTAAAATATTGTACTGTGACAGGGAGGAACTGTGACAGGGAGGAACAGTGAGAGTTCTTCAGCAAAGAAGAAAACGCATTACTAGGGCAGCTCAGTCAGTAAAGGGAAATAGAAAGGGAGGGAAGTGGACAGGGCTGTCATACTTTGCAACACAAATACCAGGATAAAAAAAGTAACATTCATCGTCAAACACCTTATCTAGAACTTTCTCACAACTGATTTGTCAGGTTTAAGTAATCTACAACACTGTTTTAAACTCCTTAAAGTGCTCTCCTTCTATGATAAACATATATCTGGAAAGTTTTCACTAGCAAACAACATAAAAACCTACTGTGTGACAGTCTAATCACATACCTTTCCTAAAATAGACAACACATTTTTGCCCATAGCGTCAACAATCCATTTCCCTAAAAAGGAACAAAATATAATATTGTAGCATACAGATTTTAAAAATAAAATGTTTCATCTGTGAGAGTCTCCTTCCCTGAAGCACAAAAGCAATGCAAACTACTGCATCATGAGATCCAGCTCTAAGAATACAAAGGCAGATCAGAATGTTAGCCACTGAAGTGAAACTACTGATCAGCCAAAAAAAATTTCAACCGCCTCCCCCCCAAAAAACCTAGAGAGTTGGATGCAGTCACTTCGGCTTCCAAACCCAGAAGCGGGAGGCTGTGAGCAAATCTTCCTTTCGTCTCACAGTAATGACACCAACCACAAACCTTTCTGTAGAAAAGAGCAAGAGTCCAGTAGCACCTTAAAGACTAACAAAATATGTGGTGGGGTATGAGTTTTCGTGAGTCACTGCTCACTTCTTCCGATACCACAAACCTTTCTATTGAACTCCCAGCAATTTGCATGCTCCCCACTTCCTTCTGAGCAGCTCACACCTAAAAAATGCCTTTAATTTTTTGTTTATATACTTCATTTATAACCTGTCCTCTTCTCCAATGGCAACCCAAAGCAGCTTGCATCTCTCTCCTCTCTTCCAGTTTATTCTCACAGGAGTAGATTAGGCTGAGGGAGAATGACTAGCTCAAGGTCAACGAGCAAGCTTCCATGGCAGAGTGCAGATTTGAACCTGGATGTTCCAGATCCTAGCCCAACACACTAATCACTACATCGCATTGCTGTTGGAGCTCTGGCTTCATACAGACAACCAAACAAATCAAGAGCAAGCTTTGGAAATCCTTGAGCTCCCAGCCGCTGATCTGTCTGTTGCCCGCCTCCCGGAACCCCGGGGGCAATGGGCCTGTACGGAGGTCTCCGTTGCGGCCATTCCCTCTCCTCCCGGAACCTCGGGAGGTGGGGCCGAGTCTTCTTCCTCCCATCTGGCATCTTCAGAGTTCTCCAGCTTCCTTGAAGCCTGGGAGGGAAGGGTAGGTCTTCAGACGTAGACCTCCCCGCTCTACTGTTGTCTAACTTTTAACTCTTGTGAGTATTAAATTAAATTGTAAGTTTTAAATTCGTTGCTCTGGCTTGGAGCAGGAGCTCCAGACGTCCTACCGAGCGCAGGGCTATGCAGAAACTGGAGAGGTCAGCCTAGGCCACTCCAATAGGTGCCACGCAACAAAAGAAATTTGCATAGCCTATCGAGTGAGCAGAGGCGTGACCTAACCAGTTCCTGGATGACTTCCCCCCACTGAAGGAGAATGAAGATTTTGGCGTCCTTCACAAACCACAACTAGTCATAATGTTCAAACTGGGGAAAGTGACAAATTGTAAGTTGTTTTGCCCTTGCAAGCCTGGATTTCTAACTGGGGTTTAATCCAGGTCTTTCAAGCACAGACACACGGACCCTGCCGCAATTAGTTACTTCATCTGATTTGGATGCCATAACAGAAGAGGGAATGCGCAAGCCCAAGGACTTCCAAGGGGCAGATGCAGCTTCAGTCTTTGTAAGCTTCTCATTGCTACCAGAAAAGGACTAAGCCTTGGATCTGTATATGCCTGCACCTGACATCCCCGTTTCCTGGGAGATAATTGTTACACACAACCTGGCACGTAGTTAATCACAACTCAGTTCACGCTATTTATTATTAACACAGAACCATAAACAACATGCCAGCCTTATGCAAGGGAAGACTTACGTCAAGAAAATCCTGGGTAAACCCAGTATTGCCCCCAGTAAATTATGTTTGCCTGGAGAAAATGGAGTAGGGAAATGACATGAAAAGGTAAGGCATGGTTTTATTATTGGGGGAGAAAATGACGAATAGGGCTTAGATCTCTGGAAGTCTTCCCTACTTCTATGGATGGGGGGGGGGAGTCTACCTTCTCACAAGTCATCAGCATGTATCTCCCTTTATTCATACCTAGCCCACATATACACCTGTGCAAAAACTCCCACAACAGATACTGAAAATGATGGACTTCGTGGGGGGGGGGGCAGCTCTACAGACTCAGAACTTAATGCTGTCAGTGACTACTGCAACACACTGTTTGGGGCTGCTCTTAAAGATGGTTCAATTGATCCAAAATGGTTAGGACCTTTCAGGCATCTGTCAAGCATGACTACATTAAAAACTGTCAGAGTGACCACATTTAGCCAGTATTAAACCATCTACTACATGGGCTTCCAATATATTTCCAGACTCAATATAAGCAGCTGGTTTTGACCTTTAAAGCCCTAAATGGCTTTAAAGTACCTCAAGGATGCCTTTCACCTGTATCATTCTCCCAAAGCTTGAGGCTGGCTCCAGGGGCCTTCCTCCAGGACCAAGGCTTAGCAGAGACTCAGCTGGTAGCAACCCAAGGGAGGGTTTTTCTCAACTCTCCTCCCCCGCTGTCCAGAACTCCCTTCTGCAGGAGTTAAGAACAGCTGCTCTCCGAAATGCTTCCAGGGTGGGTTTGGAGACCCATGCTTTCTAGAAAGCCTTTAACTTAAGATTAATATAGGCTCAAGGCAGTGGCCAAAAGAGCCGTATCATAAAAGGAAAGGAAGGGCTTATAAGATTTATAAACAGTGGTGTGACGGGGGAGCGCCACTATTGAAAAGCTGATTTTTATTGATTTTATTTACTTTTAAAATTGATTTTTATTGTATTTTATTATTCCTTAAAGACTTTTTGGTTGAAAGGTGGTCTATAAATAAACTAAGGACTAAGTCCTTCCAGTACCACCATCCCCTTCAGACATCTTCACCCGGCAGTTGTATTTGTAGCAGACTAACTCGGTAACGGAGCTGCGGTGGCTCAAGTGGTTAAGACGCTGAACTGCAGGCTCTGGAAGGTCGGTAGTTCAGCAGTTCAAGACCCGAGTGTGCCGCATGATGGAGTGAGCTCCCGTCTCTAGTTCCAGCTCCTGCCAACCTAGCAGTTCGAAAGCAAGAAATTGCAAGTAGATAAATAGGTACCACTTCGGTGGGAAGGTAACAGCGTTCCGAGTCCAAGGGACTCTCAAGAGTCTCCTCCAGCACCATAGTTCAAAAGAATCTATTCTTCGGCGCTCGGCCTTCCTTATAGTCCAGCTCTCGCAGCCATACATGACTAAACCTTTACCTTTACCTTAACTTGGTTACAGAACATATTAATTACACCTAGATAAGTTATGGTCCTTAGAGGGGAAAACAGGGCAACAAAACACACTGTCCACCATGTTAACCCAAGGCACTTAACTCACATTTAAAAAAAAATAAAGATAAGCAGGTATGGCACCCATGTAGAAGCAGCTTCAACGATATCTCATAAAGCAAACAAATGCCTTCTTTATGTATGAGAAAGAAATAGAGCTACTGCCAGCATTTACTTTAAACAAGGAAAGGGAAAAGCAACTTGTTTAGAAAGCTCACACCTACATATGAATGTTTATTCAAAGCTTTTATTGCAGTCCCACTAGGCAGAACAATGGAACGTCTATGCACACTGCCAGATTACTAGGAGGCCTGAGATGCCCATCTTTTAACAACCAGCATGGGTTTTGGCATAAGGACAAGAAGGGACACACAGCGTACTTTCCTTCTCACTGAGAAGGTGCCCAACTGAAATTAAAAGAGGTGACAAAGTAGACAGGATTTGGCTGGCATAATCCGGTGTATTTTTTCACCGTTATCTGAAATATGATAGCTCATCTAAAATCACATTGCATGAAGCTGGACGGGGAGGGGAGGGGCTGTTTCCACCAATCCCCCCCCCCTGCAACTCCCTTTCCATGCTGTTCTTGGGAGTCCCTGTCCTTCAGGAGCAGCATTTTGCAGGGGGTGGGGAATTTCAGACAGCAGCAAGAGCGGGAAGCTAGAAAATCATGCTCTGCCGATGAAAATCCCTTCCACCAGCAGAAATTTTCCAGTGGATTTATTTCTAGTTATTTATAGTCCACCTTTCTCACTGAGACTCCAGGCAGATTACACAGTGTAAATTGATGCAATCAACAGGATGTGACATGCAATAAGCAACATAACAGAACTAGGCTTACAAGCAATCTGAAACAAAGCACAAAAGTATTAGCGGTGGTATATTAAACAATCAAGAAAAGTGGTATTACCACCAGTAGATAACAATGCATGGGAGCAGGATAAAACATACAGCGAATAGATAATACATACTGCATGCTACTGTCTAACTGACAGTCTAATAGTTCTACAAGGATGTAAGAATATAAGAATGGACAAGCTAAAGTAGTCCAATAGTCTAAGTGTAGCATCTTACCAAGCAATTGGATTGAATACTACCTGCACGTTTCCCCTTATAATAGAAGCTTGGGGTTTTTTTACAAATAAAACTGATAATTCAGGGAAGCAACCAGAATATCCATGGCGGGAGGGGGGAGATTCCACAGCTCCCTCACACACACACAATGGGTATGAACTTTGCAAGCGACTGGGATGACAAAGAAAGCAAGTCTTCATGTGACAGAGAATAAACAAATGAGCACATGTAGCAAAGATGGGGAAAGAATCTGTCTGTGGGGGTGGAATTAACATGGCTTGGAGTTGATGGGTCCAGCATCAGCAGCCCCTGTTCATGCACATTACGGTGTTTTGCACTAGAACAGTGGTTCTCAACCTTTAATACGGTTCCTCATGTTGTGGTGACCCCCAACCATAAAATTATTTTCGTTGCTATCATAAGACCATTGAAAATTTGTGTTTTCCGATGGTCTTAGGCGACCCCTGTGAAAGGGTCGTTCGACCCCCAAAGGGGTCGCGACCCACAGGTTGAGAACCGCTGCACTAGGACAAGTGACCAGCTTGAGTCACTTTAAGAAACAATAAACTAACAAATGTGTTAATTGTCTGCCGAAATATTCTCAGAAAATTGTCTTAAGGATCCCTTTCATAACCCTTGAAGCATTCATTTGGACAGTGATTTCATGATGGCCAACAAAATCACTGAAGTACAATCTTTAAAACAAAACACAACAGCCAATTTACCACTTGAACAATTAAG